GGCGTGGGTTTGGCTGCACATCGGTTTGCTCGGGGTTTCTATAGAGAAAATAATTTAACGAAGGTTGGCCCTGATCTTGCCATTCATTTCGTGCTCTTTTTAAACCTGCTTCCCCCGTCGGCTGGATAAGGTTGTGCCCTTTTAAATCGACATGGTTTAGGGAAAAATAACTTGGAAAGCTGGAACTAAAATTTTCTTCAAAGTTATGTAACTCCCAGCTGATGCTGAATGCAAATCAGACTGAGCCAGTAGTGTCACTAATCACAAGTGTGCACTGAGGTCACAGCGTTCCAGTTTTTTGTCCAAAGTGAATATCAACCATTCAGTAGCACAATGTCAGAGAATAGGATACCTTTTATTAAAATGTGTTTCTTTACGTTGTATTTATCAATGTGGCTTTTAAATTGGTTTTGACTTCAGCGTGTGCTGCTGCTTCCAAGTGCATATATCTTAGAAATAAAATCCAAAAATAAAAATGAAAATTTGCTGAATTATTTTGGCCCTGGTGAGCTCTCCTGCAGGAATGAATCTGAGGAAATCTGTGCTCTTTTGCTGATCGTTTGACTAGATGATTGTAGGAGTTCTCCGTAATCCATACAATTTAACCACTTGTTTCAAGGCATTACTTTATTGGGCCTTCTGGTGAAGGATAAGTTTTTGTGTATTGTGTATACTTCTTATTGAGGTCAGTGGGAGGTTGGAATACTCTAGGAATTCTTTTTTCTGAAATAAGAGATCCTGTTGTTTTTTAAGACATAGGAGAAACTCCTCAATTTCAAAATGTCATCAGTCAAACGCTTGGTTTATGCATTCATCCACTTCTTGAGAGAGCAGAGTCAGATGGATACTTTCACTCCAGATGAACAAGAAAGCTTGGAAGGTAAGTGATAAAAGTGCTAATACATATATGTGTGTAGTAAGTACCCATATGCTAAATTGCTTGGTGTATGTTATCATAGAAAGTAACTGGAGTGACCTAACTGGAACTGCTACCAAATATTATCTGTGAATAAGATCATGATCTTAATGTTTCTTAGATTATTAATTTTAAAACATCTGTCATTTAAAAAATGTTCTAAAGTTACAAAATGTGTACTACCTTAATTTTGAGCAACAGATACTTTGAATCACATCAAGTTAAGCAGTGCTGTAATGCAGGCTATCGTAATGATTTGTGTATGTGCCCACAAATTTTTTGCCTGCTGATTCTTTTTCTCTTTACTTTTGTTTGGTTTCTTTCTACATTTTCTGTGTGATAGCTGTGCCGGCCATAGAGGAAGTAAAACAATTACCATATATTGGTTTTGGTATATGGAAAGAACTGTTTCACACTTGCAAGAATTTTGTGTAATTTATGAGGGAAGGCTAAGAGATCCTGAGAATATGGAAAATAAAATAAATACTTTGCATTTCTTTTTCTCTTGAATAGTAATTCCAAAGAGCGCATGCTAGTGAATATTTTCAGTGTGGTATAGTTTTTATTATACATCCAAGTCCATCTATCTGTAGACATAGCTACAGAGAGATGGACTTCTGTGTGTCTTCATCTGTTGACAGACATTCATCAGGTCTTTTTAACTTCATAATATCTGTCTTTCTCCTTCATACTGCTCTTATTCCTTTTCCCTAACTCCTGGAGACTTCATGGCAGGTGGTATCACATTGTGGAATTAAGCAAGAGAAGAACAAAAAGTCTTAATTCCTCAATGAGCTTTTTATAGCATCTATTTAAAAGACCTCTGCACTGTTTCAGGTAGTCTTTGGTTGTATCAGTCAAAGAGAGGAGGAATTTGGAGGTAAGAGCAGGAAGTCTAGGACCAGCAGTGCAATAAACATCATCCAGGCAGTTGATGACTGAGTTACCTGAAATCTGAGGTGTGGAGAGTAGACTTTCCTGAGGTGCAAAACAAGTCCTGCTTTTCAGAGGCATGAATTGAAAAAGATAAACCTGGAGTGTGCCTCCTTCCATTGTCTATTGGATTTACAGTGTAGTTGTTCACTAATGTAAGCAAGAAAGAAACATTTGTATCGTGATATTCAAAGGATACTCCTGAAAGAATGAAAGCCAAAAGACTGGGTTTTACATCAGAACCTGGAGTATTTTGTACGTTTGAAAAGTCATAGTCATCTATGAATTTAACCTGTATCAGGTTTTGATGATGTTCAGCTGATGAAAGCAAGCAATGTTTTTGGAAATCATATAATGAGAGATGAAGAGTATTCCTTTTGTTTTTGCAATAAAACTGATAAACATTGGATTATGACTAAAAATTTACCTGATGATGTGTTAGAACGCCTTAGCCAATGTTTATATAAAGGAATCAATTTTAAGATTCTGTTTTCTGAACAAAAAAATACTATAAAACCTCAGTTGTGCTTAAATGCTGATGTAAATTTTACCATTTTAATACAGATATGAAATCCTAATTTTAGAGCTGTACCCTGCCAAAAGCATGGTACCATATGCTACGTGTTAGAGGATAGGAGGCAGGCATTCTGAATAATTGACTCATTTTAGTTGTGCAAAATATCTTTAGTGCATGTGGAGTAGCAATAGCCCAAGTTCCACCCATTGAAGTATTTAATGTTAGGTGGACACAGATGAAAAAATTTGACTGATGTTTTTCACTGGTACCTTATATACCTTCTTGGTGTCTATGAAAAGATGAAACACTGTATGATTGTCTGGGCCAGGAAGTAATTTAAATAGTTCTGGTTCCTCACAAAACAACAAAAAGAGCTAGAACATTACAAATAAAATTGAGACTTTATCAGAATAGAAGTCTATCATGTATTGAAACTCCATTTATATTGATAACCTGCATTATGCATGTTTGAATTATATAGCGATGTCAATGATAGTGTAAATTTCCTCTAGGAATTTTGTATTTGCATAATGAATAAAAATGCCTTATTTTGAGAAAGCAGAGTAATCAGAAGGTAGACTGGAGAAATATACTCCCCTACAACCTAGGACCTAGAGCAGTGATATAGATCTCTGGTGGTTAATGCTCAGCTCTATTGTATAAACTAGAAACTTCTCTTCTTCCAAGTTGTATTTTAGACAGTGTGTTTAAATGGCAGTTATTTCTCTTTCCTGTTTACAGTTTCTAATTTTTTTTCTTGTCTATAGCACTTCTTCCTTTGGGATTAAAGCAGAAACTCTCTACAACGTGCAGAAGGCTGTGATTTTTTTCTTACTTCTAAGATCAATGTACTGCAATGATTTCTCTAAGGCAGTGCTTCCAAAACAGTGGACTGCACCCCTTAAGGCAAGGGATGCATGTAATACTTGAGATGGGGAAGGTTATGTGTAAGATGAAGCAAGATGATACCAAGTACTAAAGGGGCCTCAGCAGCCCAATTAATCTTCATTAGTTAGTGACCAACAGCCTGCGTGTCTGCTGTGATGCCTTGATGTTGCTGGCAACTTGTGCTTGAAGAGCAAAAAATCCTGGAGGTATGTGGCACTGGGGATGCTGAGCTGGGCTCCAGCATAGCCCAAGTGCTCCTTTTATTGGGGAGCAGATGTTTGTGTGAGCTAAAATGGAGGTAGGCATCTGCACTGGTCAGTATATGCTTCAGTAACTGCCTAGGCCTCTGAAAGTGTGTGTGATGATGGAGATAATAAGGAGAACAGTTAACTTTGGCCTTTGAAATCAGACACGGAGAAAATCTTAGATTAATAGTTCATGTGGTGCAGCACATCTTTCCCAACTTACTGATGATAGCAAGCTTGTGGCAGTTGACGGTGCCTCACTTTGATAATGGGATAGTGAGATGCTGGCAGTCTAGTCTTTTGAGATACTTTTCAGACAAAAACAAGTCTTCACTCCTCGGACGTTACTTGGGTCAGGTTTTTACATCACATTAAAACAGTGTAGTTATTGATCTTGTCACAACTTAATACATCTTCTGATTTGGAAAAGTTTCTGTTTTGACTATGTTTATTTTTACACAGGTTTCTATTGTTGGCTTGCATGTTAACCAGTGGTTATTATTCTAACCTATGGATTCATCCCATAAGAGCTCCTAATTTTGTTATACCTGTGATAGATAGATTATAAAAATTATAAATTCTGTTTTTCAGTTAAAGGAGACATGTGGGAGTTCACTGTAACAACTGATTATTTTATGGAAATGCTTACTAGTAATAATAGTGTACTCAGGATTATTTTGTTTAAGCATAATTTGCACTGCTGCACTTTGCAAAAATCTCCTGTATGATAGAGAGGTGGTGTCACAGACTTAATGCCTCGAGGAAGATAAAGGAAGGGGTTGTATTTTAAATTTATGCAAAACTACAAATTAGGTGAGGCATTCAGGAAAGGGATTGCCTTTAGGTGAAAATAAGTTTGAGGAGAAAATTGGTAAGTGTACTTGGCAAGTGGCTTCCTATTAAGTCATATAAGAAAAAAATAAGATATTTAATTCCACTGATTTTATGATAGGCCTGGTAATAAGTACTATTAATGTATAATTCAGAGTTCAGCATAATCAATGCTTACTTTACAAGAATTAAGTTTTTTGACATAGCAGGAGACAAAGGACTTTAAACCAAATCCTTCAATACTCTTACTGGGTAATTTTGAACCTGGCAAATTGATAAGTTTTTAGCGTTCATAGGTTATAGGAGCAATGTGTTCAATCGTTACATGTTATCAACATTAATTTTGTATCATACTTCAGTTTTTCTGAATAATTTCTATTGTATGTTTTCAGAATTTTTTTAAAAATTACATCTTCCATGTTTTACTGTTTATTTTACAGGTCTACTTTTTCCCCCTTTCTCCCAGCTGTGACGTAGAAAATAGACTTCTCAAACTGGCCTTACTGGTGTTAACTTTCAGTAATTTTACTTTTATAATTTTGGATCAGTGTTCAGGTTCATTATAAGGCAAATAAGAATTCAAAAAGTATTTATTTTATTAACATTGGATGAAATTCAATTTAAATTCTAAGATTCAGTTTTTACTGATACTCAATTTGAATTCAGCTACTCCTGGTTATCTATAGTTTGAGTTAAAACTGTCATTTTTTTTTTCAAACTAAGCTTCACAAAGACTCTTCAGTGTTCCCCCTCAGTTTTCAGTCTAAAACATTTAGATGATATACCTTAATAAAAACATCCTACTAGATTCTCAAGATGATAGGGAAAATAATGATGTAATTTGAGATACTATAATTAACAGAATACATATACAGAATTGTATACACTAATTGCCATTGATCTTCTTTTGCCTAAAAATATATGAGCACATTTAAAACTTCAGCTAGGTATTTGGCTCTACTTGTTTTAGAATTGCTTATTGTGAGTGTTTTTGCATTATTACAGGTTTGGGAGGGCCATTTAATCCTTACACAACAGAACATGTGAACGGATGCTGCAGATACATATTTTAATAGGATAAAGGCTTGTGATTAATGAATCATTTATTAATAAACAGTGTCTTCAAATGAATATATTTCAAATGAAAAAGAGAAGACTAATAAGTATCTTGTATTTATACTTTACATTATAGATGAGCCATTTTCTTTCAACTATTATGCCACACAAATATATGGCAGTTATGGTGTTTTGAGGTGGGGTGTGTGACAGATGCATAGTTGTATTATGAACTGTGGTGCTTTTGTTAAACCCTCATATTTTTATGTCTTTTTAAAAAAGGACATTAAATGATTGAAGGAATTGAAATAAAAGTTTTAAATTTGTTTAAGAATAATGGCTGAATTATGTATGGATTCTGTATAGCTTATACAATTTTTCAGCAAGTCAATTCTAGGGGGTTAAGGTAGCTTCTCTTCATTTTATGATATAGAATCATAGAATCATTTGGGCTGGAAGGGACCTTTAGAGGTCATCTAGTCCAACCCCCCTGCAGTGAGCAGGGACATCTCCAACTAGATAAGGTTGCTCAGAGCCCCATCCAGCCTGACCTTGAATGCCTCCAGGGCTGGGGCTTCCACCACCTCTCTGGGCAACCTGTTCCAGTGCTTCACCACCCTCATTGTAAAAAATTTTTTCCTTATGTCAAGTCTAAATCTGCCCTCTTTTAGTTTAAAACCATTACCCCTTGTTATGTCACAGCAGACCCTGCTAAAAAGTCTGTCCCCATCTCTCATATAGGCCCCCTTCAGGTATTGGAAGGCCACAATGAGGTCACCTCGAAGCCTCCTCTTCTCCAGGCTGAACAACTCCAGCTCTCTCAGCCTGTCTTCATAGGAGAGGTGCTCCAGCCCACCCCAGCCCCCAACAAGTGCATGGGAGCGCCCTGTCACCTCATGACTGGGATGGTAGCCCCAGCCCGCCCCTACCTGTTGTGCACGCAAGGTCCACCGAAGGGAGGTT